TGAACATCCTTCAGATTAGAAGTGGCTCGGTCCATATCAGCCCTAATAGCAGCCATCTCGTCTTTCTGGGCTTGGACCAAAATCCTTCTTTCTTCGTCGAGCTGGGCTCTGTACACCCAGCGGATGTTTTCTTCCTCGTCAGCGAATTCTGGATTGAAGCTGTCTTGCCGAGCTTGAGTTCGCCCTTCTCTAGGGATGCCTTGTTCTTGCGAATTGCGCTCGCCGTTCGGATCATCTTCCAAGTTGATCACCGGCGGAGTTCTGTTTGTTGGTCCGCTCGCCGTTGCGCTCGGCTCGCCAGTACCGGATGCCGGATCCATTGGTTGTAGCCTAGGGATTCTCTGCGCACCACCTGGCTTGGAGAAGTTCAGCATTGTGGGGTCGATGCGCGACGCGTATCGCGGAACCTGGCCTGTTCTTCCTCCTCGAGCTCGGCTGGCCGCTGCCGAGGCTCTTCGCTCGTTGTCCATCGCCGCGTTGCGCGCATCTTGCTCTGCCGACTTTTTGAGAAGCAATTCCATCATCGCCTTCATCTCGTTCAGAAATTCTGGCGTCTCGGCCGTCGCCCCAGCAGTTTGGTTCGGACCAGTGTTATTTGTAGCGTTTTTGTCGTGACTAGAGTTGTCGCCGCCGCTCTGATCTTGGGGGCGAGAGTTGTTGACGTCGCTCTGATCCTGCGGACCGGTGTTGTCGGTGGCGTCTCCTCGCCACTGGAATTAACGATGTCGTCGCTGGTAGTCATCTTCGTCGGGTCGCTTGTCGAGTGGTTCTTTTCGTGTAAGAAAATCTCAAGAGTCCCCTTAGACGGCGCCAAATTGTGGAAGGTGAAACCAACACAATTGAATTTGTAAGGGTTTTTAGAGGAAAGCTGAGATCTCTGAGTTAGAACCACCAGAACAAGATGAGATTGCTGTTAAGAGAAAGCTTTATTAATTCGTCTAGAATAATTTTGCAGTCAGTTGCCCCCCTCCTTCACAGAGGAATCACAAGAGCATATATACAAGTTTCGGTCGGCTAGGCCAAACCCTACAGAGATAAGGAAAGATCCCTAATTTCTCGGGATTTCCTTTTATCGAAATCGGTCTTGTTTAGGGCTTCGTCTGCGTGGACTCTGGGCCCGTCGCATACTATTCTTGGGCTTGACCTCTCCATCTCCTATCTTGGGCCTTGTCACCGTTCGGCTCGTCAAGTCGTCAGAGCTGGTCTCGGGCTCGCCGTTGACTTTTCGCTTATTCACAACAATGCCTCGTCAACAACTTCCTCACAACAATGCCTCGTCGCCACCGTCGCTTTTTCACCTCATCGCGTCGTCTATTCGTCGCGAGACCTTCACTGAATTTGCTTTGCCGTTGCGTCGATCAAGCTTTTCTTCGCCGTCGCATCGATCAAACTTCGCCTCGCTGTCGCATCGATCAAGTTTTACCCCATCGTCGCATCGATCAAGTTTCGCCTTGTCGTCGCATCGATCAAGCTTCACCTTGTCGTCGCATCAACCAACAAAATCTATCGGAACCGCCGCCGAAATCAACAAACCCTAGTCACCTCGTCGTAGACGTTCACCTCGCTGATGCCACCGGTAGTCACTCTGTCGTCACCTTTATCAAGCTTGCTT